ATAAACAGCAAAGACAGGTCTCCTAATTTGAGGGGTGGAGACCTGGGGTGTGGGGTGGGGAGGGCGGGCAGGCTTTCTCTTGAGCTCTTGCCCACCCATGGGGTTATCCTGGGCTGTATTGACCTGTGGAGACAAAAGAAACAGAAAGGAGAGAAGGCCCAGACATAGGTGGTGCCCTCAGGGAGGGGTTAGGCTGATAAGTCTTTATCTAGGCTTTACCCTCCATCCTAACAAGCCTTTTCTTCCTTCCTTCACTCTTCACTCATATCCTTGGAGTTGAATTCATCCCAGCTGCCCCTACAGGGAAAATACCCCCAATTTTGCCCTTAAAGGTCAAGATGGTCCCCTCTCAGGGGAAAAAAAAAAAGGCTATTAACAGTACTGTTCTAGCCAAAAAACAACCAAACTCACTGCTGTCAAGTCGATTTTGACTCATAGCGACCCCTCCTTGGGTTTCCGAGGCAGTAACTCTATGGAAATAGATTGCCCAACCTTCCTTCCGAGGAGTGGCTGGTGGATTTGAACCTCCAGCCGTCTGGTTAGCAGGCAAGTGTCTTAGCCACTATGCTACCAGAGCTCCCACTACACCACCTAGCCATTGGTAATAAACTATATTGAAAAAAACAAATGTCCTTGTTTTGGGGGAGCTTACATTGTAGCAGGGGGAAACAAATTTCAAAAAATGAACATGATGCATCAGTGAATTATCTAGTATGACATAAAAAAATAAAATAAAATAAACCACTGTCATGGAGTTGATTCTGACTCATAGCGAAACATCATTGATTTCCAAAGCAGTAAGTCTTTACAGAAGTAGATCGTCCCATCTTCCTTCTGTGGAGTGGCTGATGGGTTTGAACCACCAACCTTCTAGTTAGTAGTCAAATGCCTTAGGCACTTTGCCACCAGAGCTCCTTTGTGTGACATAGGTGAGAATAAGTGAAAGGAAAAAAAAGAAAAGTAGAGTAGGGTTAAGTGGGATTAGAAGTTGTCAACAGGGCAGGTTACTGTATTAAATAGGATGACCAGGGAAGACCTGATTGAGGAAGTGAGATTTGAATAAAGACTTGAGTGAGGTATGAATCACAAAGATGGGGTGTGGAGAGAGCTGAAAATTATGATAAAAGTACAAGGTACTATGAGAGGGATAACAAGGGGGATTTGTTTTAGACAGGAGAGTCAAGCAAGACCTCTTGGAATAAGTGACCAAAAGGATGAAAACGCGCTGGCCAGGTATGGCTATCAGTGTTTGTGTGTGTGTGTGTGTGTGTGCATGAAACTCCAGGCAAACAAAAAAGCAAATATAAAGACCCTAAAGCTGGATTGTGCCTGGCATGCTTGAGGAACAGCAAGATGGCCAGTGTGGTCAGAAAAATAACCACAGTGAAGACTTTAGCTTTTAATCTGACAGAGATGGGAGCTATAGAAGGGTTCAGAGCAGAGGAGGGTGATGGCCTGATTTAGGATTTAACAGAATCTCTCTGGACGCTGTGAGAAGAATAAAAAGTCAGTGAGTGGAGGTGTGTGTGTAGCTCTAGGGGAGAGATAATAGGGAGAAGTGGGAGAATCATTTTGAAGGTAGAGCCAACACGATTTTTTTGATAAATTATGAGATGCCTAAATCCTCCCTGGGAGCTCTGGTGGCGTACTGCCTAAGGCACTTGACTGCTAACCAAATGGCTGGCGGTTCAAACCCACCAGCCACTCCTCGGAAGATTAGGTAATCTACTTCCCTAGTGATACTGCCTCGGAAACCGAAGTAGGGGTGGCTATGAGTCAGATTCGACTCGTCGGTAGTGAGTTTGTTTTATGCCCTTTTCTATCCTTTCCAACCCAGTGCCAGAAACTACCCCACCCACGTGTTGCCCCCTCCACCATACCTCTGCCAGAAACAACATCTTTTCTTTCCACTTTCTCCCCTCATATCAGTCTATGGAAACCTCACTTCTCTTCTGTTGTTGTTATTGTCGATACTGACTCATGGTGACTCCATGTATGCAAGCGTTTTCAAGACTGTGAGCTTTGGAAAGCAGATTGCCAGGCCTTACTTCCGAGGCACCCCTGGGTGGTTTTGAACTGCCTTTTGGTTACTAGTCCAGCACTTAACCATTTGCGCCACACAGGGATTGCTTACTTCTGTTTTAAGGCCCAGCAAGAAAGCCTTAAAGTCTTTCTAGTGTCCCCGCCAGTCCCTATTCCTTTTCTGAAATTCCACACTTCTGTCGTTCATCTCGAGGGTTGGGGAGAGGTGGGAAATCTATTACCTCTTCCGGGATTGGTGAGCTCGGCTGACCTTGATGACCCAAGCCTGTTTATTATCACCATTGGTTTTAGCTCCTATTGACTCATCAACCACTTCTAAGGGCCACCTCTTCTACACCTCCGTGGCTCCTGCGCTCCGCTGATTCGCCACTGTGCAACTTCCCTCTTGCCATTGGTTGCTTTGACCGCTTCTCTCTCCCCTTCCCGCAGTTACCACTTCTACCTTTTTCCCATTGGTTCCTCATTACGCCCGTCTTTAAGTATCACTCTCCTGCTCTCTATTCATTGGCTAGATTTCAGCTAGATTTTACCTGTAGCCCTACCTCTTTTGGCTACTTCAAACTTCCGCCCTTACTTGCCCGGCAAACTCTACGTATAAATCTTCTCCTGCCTCTTATTGCTTCACTGACCCGCCAATTTCCTTTCTTGTACCTTCGTTGGACATAACGCCCGCCAGTCACTCACCAGGTTACATTTGATTGGAGAAGGAAGTGGGCGCACCCTGCGGACCGTAGCCTTGCTGCCCATAATCGCCTTGGGGCCCGTAGCCCCCGCCGCCACCGGCTGGCTGCCCGTAATCTGGCTGGTAACCGCCTTGGGGCCCGTAGGAGTCCTGGGGCCCATACCCGCCGGGGCCCTGTCCGTAGCCTGCCTCGCCGTATGTGTCCCCGGGCGCTGGCTGCTTCTCGGGTGCGCCAGGGGGCGAGCGCAGGAACGGGGCGGCCCAGCCTGTCTCCTTGAACACGAACCATAGGTTGCCGACCCAGAGCACCAGGTTCAAGAAGCCAAACACCTGTGGGGAGATGAGGCCCGGCTGTCGGCTCATGCCCATTGACTTGATAGTCGGGGGAACATTGAGGCCAAGCACAGGGATGGGCGGTGTGGGGCAAGGATCTAGGAGCTCCTGGAGGGTTGTGGTTTCTGAAACCTGGACCCTTCAAGTCCCAGCATGCGAACGTCAATGTGCAGAAAAATCACGGTGTGTGTGTGTGTGTGTGTGTATTAGAATTCAGATTCCTGGTGATGTTGATATCTATCAGTATTGAATAT